GGATTGTTTTTTTTGGGAAAACACTGAAATATGGTGAGAGATTTTATTCAAAACTTAAATATGAAGCGAGAAGTTAGGATGACTGTGGCAATTAACACTTTGCTGTGCATTAACCTCTTCACTGACTATGACCTGTCCATTTTGGAACATTAAATAACTATGTAGAAATAATTGTCTATTTAGGGGCATGGGATGGACAGAAGAAACCTATTTTAAATATGGATTAGGGTCAGTCTGATTTTATGAATATGTATAATACACCTAAATGCAAGAATCAGTTTCCAGCTCCACGGTTGCTTTGTTTGGGCTCTGTCTAAGCTGTTGAGCCTTAGAATGGCTCAGCAAGGCCCTGGCTCCATCCCAGGACAATGACATGTCTGGGTTTGCTTGAAAAGGAAGCATATGTTTGTGGGTCAGGTGTGAGCCACAGCTTCCTCTGACCTTGTGCCTTTTCCTACTGGAAAATCCAGACATAGCCTGTGAGCTAAGACTGTTGTCAGGTCATTTGCAGCCACAATTTTTAGTGACCTTAATTTTTCTAGGCACGTAAGGAGCTATGTGCAAGGTAAAACATGACTTTGGACTCATAAAAGTTCTGCTAATCCGCAGGCTGCTCAATTTGGTGTTCTAGAATTGGTTGTCAATTTTGAAATTGCTTTAAACTCTGAGCTGCTCGGTCCCCCATGAAACACTGAGTTCAAAGTAAGAATCATAAAGTTTTCTTTATAATTTCTAACAAGTTAACTGCAGGCACCTCACACTCTAGATTTATGTGCTTCATTGAAAATTGAGGTATATATGATTAATCCACTTACTGTGAATGTTAGTAGAAGTTAGCAACAGAGCTTGGCTGGTGATCCTGTCAACTAGACAAGCTGGGAGATGGAATCTCTACTGTCTGAACGTGTGATGCTGACACACAAGAACAAAATTGGGTGCACACTGCCTTCAAACTGTGAGCAGAGGGAATCAGCAACCTCCTGAGAGCTTTAACTGCTCAATGAGGAATGCTCTACATGCTGTGTATTACATACTGAACATTTTTGTAACTTTTAACTGCTCTCTTATGGAAAAAATGGACTGAACTTTTTATTAATTCAATTTGTGTTAATTTGAATTTCAAACGGTGGCCGCAGAGTGTGCCAACAACCATTCTGTCGCTTAGAAAGACGGTTCCTTCAGGAGGAAAAAAGAAAACCTAAATGAAGAAAGTTAATTTTATCTCATCCATTGAAGCAAACAAGAACCAATTACTTAAAAAAAAAACAACCCCTTTTTAAGAAATGAGGAAAAGATCATGATTACGTGGATATTATTTGAAAATTTTTCTTCAGCTTTTTTTTGAAGACTGTCAAAAAATGTGTTAGTGCTGCAATGTTTGGTTTAGAAAAGGGAGTGAATAAGATGTTTTGCTCTGTACCAAGGCTGAACTTGTCTTGCAACTAGTCAAAACCAAAGTTTTCAGAACTTCTCATGGTGAAAGGCTGCTAATGATTCAAACGGAAAATTGTCTCTTGCTGTAACCTTTCTGAAATAATGATCACGCTAACTCCTTTTAGATTTTTGTGCTTCATAAAAGTAAAAAGCTAAAAAACCAGAAAGCTGTGTGTGTTACCCTGGCTATTGTGGACTGAGGAACTATTGCAGGACTGAGGAATAGAACTTGGCTGGGCACATCCACCAGAGAATCTGTGACTTCAAATCTGTACTGGCTTTTTCTGTAATGTGGTACTTGCTTACATGACAAAAATGGATGTATTTTTAGAGGCTAATTACTTTAGAGAAGCTGGAATTAGGATGAAGGAGAAGGAAAGCATAAAATGGGGATAGCACATGACTTCATTTAGTTTCTATCATTGCAGCTGTGTATGAAAAACTTTTCAACACATTGCCTGACAGGTAACATAATACTAACAAAGCATCTTTGTTAATACAAGATTAATCCCTAATCATTTGTTGTTTTACTGATAAAATGTTCCTACTTGCATTGTTCTTTGCATTTGCTTCTTGCATGTTCTCTGAATCCTCTCATTATTGCAGTAACAGTGTAGGTCTCATGTATGAGGCTTCATCTTGCTAGATGCTATGCAAGCTCCCTCCTTATCCAAGGAGCTGGCAGTTTAAAACCAAATGCAATGAGAGATAAAAGGAATGTGTGTCTTTGCTCAAAATCAGTGATGGCATGCATATGCATGGAAAAATGTGTACAACTTATTGTTTTACATTTATATGAATGCTTATTGCAGGCTTACCGAGAAATCTGTCGCCAGATTGATAGTGTTTTCTTGTCTTTGTTCTAACCTCTGGAACATGACTATCTTCAGGATAGATTTTGGGCATGACTGAATGTCTTTTTCCTTTAGGGATAATAAAACACTGAATGTAGGTGCACAGCTAAAAATTTCAATCTGCCTTGCCAAGTGCAATGTCAATGCAGTGTCAATGTTAAGCAAAACAGTAATAAATAGCTTGTCAGGCAGTTCTACCTGTAGTTACTCTCGTGGCATTTGGCATTTTTTAGAAGGTTTCTGAACCTGAATGGACTCTGAAATACAGTCCAGAAAACAGTGGTAATTATTTACATACTGTTGGCTTCACTGCACTGTTGAATGCACAGTTAATCCTTGTCATATCTGAGTTGTTGGTAAATTATTCAATTGTTGGTAAATTTTACTTTGGTTAGGCTGAATGTAGTTTTCTTTTATTTTCAGACAAAAAGATTTTCACAGTTGTCTGAAATCACCAGTATTGCTGTTGAAGAGGTTGCCCAATATTTTGTCTGCCAAAAGTTCCTTCCCAAACTACAATGCTGACTTATCTTCAGTGACTCAGCCTCCAAAGATTTGTTTGCTTTTTCCATGCTTACCTGTGTAGAAGGATTCTGGAGGATGCTCTAGGAGACACCCAAGGGTCATTCTTAGCCCACCAGTGGCTTAGAGTCTGATACACATTCTCTGTTTCTCTTGTGGAGAAGTTTTGCAAAGATCTGCTGAGATTAATTCACTTAGGTTTTATAAATCTGGTTGTATTTGCTGACTCTCACAAGTTGTCCTACACAAGACTGAGGCTTTTTTGTGTATGTTGGTGTCAGGTGCTGTGAGCTATGAGCATGCAGCAAATTTGTAGCTAAGGCAAGGGCAGAAAAGCCTGTTCAGTAAAAATCAGACAGTGTAAGACTGTTTGCTTAGCTTGTGGCTAGAAGTCCAGACTGGATGATAAGTGTTCAGTTCAGTCTCTGAGTCAGTACTTTTTGAAAGCTAACAGATTTAGAGTGTTTGCAATTGTAGGGCATGGTGTAATAACTTTTGTTTCCTTGACTGGGGAAAGGAAGCCATAAATAACCTGCAAACATCTGATATAGGTAGTTATATGGGTTTTTTCACAGATCCATCTCATGAATCTGAATGTAATAAATTTGCCAGACCTGCACTGCAAATTCAAACTTGTTTCCAGAATAAAAGGAATTCTCTTTACAGGTTGTGGCGACAATATTTTATTGTCTAACAAGTGTTCTGTGTTAGAAAAATACCAGCATTCAGTATTGTGCAAGCCTAAATGAGTTCCTGTGACACATAGCACTAAATATGAATGCTAATACTAAATTCAGTCATGGATATCCGAAGTACACAAAATTAGTTTTGCCACAATGCTGTATCTTGGATTAAAGTGGCAGAACAAAGGCATTCCGGTTTATGGCTGTTATTTTATCTGCCTTGCATCTAGATTTTTCCAATTACATTCAAGATTTCAGTGTGGTAACTAGATACTAGATATTCTTAACCTGGTTTGGCAACTTTTTGCCTCCTTGGGCCCCTAACATTTTCAAAAGTCTTCATGTCTCCAGAAGGCTTTTTTCCCCAGAATAATATTGGCTATAAAATATTTATTAAGATGCAAATTCAAAATAAAAACTGTTGTTATTTATATACTACACCACTGCTGCTGAATGCTAGCTAAACTGGTTGTGATGTCGTTGAAAAGAAGTTGACTATTGTAGCAAAGGAGCAGTTGACCTCAAAACACCTTCTCATTTGGTGTATATTCCTCAGTGTAAGAAAATCTATCTCCTGCTCTAGCTATTTGGCTCAGTGTTCATTTTTGAGACCCTGTCCTGGATGTTCTCTGTTATTCATCTGTGATGGCTGAATTGAAGATCAGGCAGTCTGTGCTTTTTAAGTCCTAAATAATCTTTTGTGATGGCTGTTTCCAGATTATTTACCTGTATTTTATTAATTCACGTGCCTCTACTAGAACTGAATTTGTATTTCCCTTTTTGTTTGTATTGCCCTGAATTTGTAACCTGGTTAGCAGGATTGTGGATCCTAAGAATGTGACAAAACTCTGCCACCACAGTGTGTGAGGTTCTGGAAGGGTTACTTTTAGTGCTGCCCAAGAGAATCAGTGATGGATGACTACAAACATAGTAGGCTATGCAACCAACTCTACCTGTAACACAGAAGGCATTTTCTATCGGTAAATATCCTGTATTTTTAAATCATTGAAAATCTAAAGGAAACCCAGACTTTGGATCTGGTCCTAGATCCCTGTGAGGTGCTCTTCAAGACAGGTGTGAGTTCTGAACCATAATCTCAAGACTGTTAGGGTCAGCCCACATGTTTCACTGTGTGAGAGCTGGACGTGTGTAAATACTGCTGTGGTTGGTGTGTATGGGGACTGATTGAAAGGAACCTTGACAACTGAATCAAGTTCAGACAATTTAGAACAGATTAAAGAAATTGTTGTCACTTTCCTAATGAGTTGCATTTTGTCATGATTGACAAAATCCATTGCCAAGGCTTTTCCTGCTCCTGGACTCCTGACCTGCATGTGAGAGCTGTCTGCTGCTCTTCTCTGGCCTAGATGGAAATTTTTATGTGTATGAATTTGTCTGCCATTTGGGGAAGAATGAGTAAAAGTTTTACTATAAACACAGACATCATTTGTGTTAATGTGAAGACCTGTGTGGTTCTGATGTCTCTTTTTATCTCTTTGTGTTTCAGTTCATCGCTTTTGCCTCTTTATTCTTCATCTTAGTTTCAATCACAACCTTCTGCCTGGAAACACATGAGGCTTTCAACACTATTATAAACAAAACTGAGCAGGTCATCAACGGGACAGAAGCTGTGTTACAGTATGAGATTGAGACAGATCCTGCACTGACATATGTGGAAGGAGTCTGCGTGGTATGGTTTACATTTGAATTTTTAGTACGTGTTATTTTTTCTCCCAACAAACTTGAATTCGTCAAAAACCTCTTGAATATCATTGACTTTGTGGCCATCCTGCCCTTTTACCTAGAAGTGGGCCTGAGTGGGCTCTCCTCCAAAGCTGCTAAGGACGTGCTTGGTTTCCTCAGGGTGGTAAGGTTCGTCAGGATCCTCCGGATTTTCAAGCTCACCCGGCACTTTGTGGGCCTCAGGGTGCTGGGCCACACTCTGCGAGCCAGCACCAATGAATTTCTGCTGCTGATAATATTCCTGGCACTTGGTGTTTTGATATTTGCCACTATGATCTACTACGCAGAGCGGGTGGGAGCCCAGCCTAATGACCCGTCAGCAAGTGAACACACACAATTCAAAAACATCCCCATTGGCTTCTGGTGGGCTGTAGTCACCATGACCACCCTGGGATATGGGGATATGTATCCACGGACTTGGTCAGGCATGCTGGTGGGAGCCCTGTGTGCCCTGGCGGGAGTGCTCACCATAGCCATGCCCGTGCCTGTGATAGTTAACAATTTTGGGATGTACTACTCCCTGGCCATGGCAAAGCAGAAACTGCCAAGGAAGCGAAAGAAGCACATCCCTCCTGCTCCTCAAGCCAGCTCACCCACCTTCTGCAAGACAGACTTGAACATGGCCTGCAATAGCACGCAGGGTGACATCTGCCTGGGCAAGGACAACCAGCTGATGGAACACAACAGATCATCAGGTAGGACCCCACTGGAAATGCATGTCCTCTGAAAACACTTTATAGACCAGTATGTTTGGTAGGGGTCAGAAAGCAGCCAGTCTTTCTGCCAGGAGAAGATGTAGCTCCCACCCTTCTCCCCTCCAACATTTGCGTGTGTCAGTCTCATAGAGGACAAAAATAGGTATAGTGATGTTCCCAAACCTCTATGTAGCTGGTCTATACAGTTTTGCTTGCTCTGTTGAGAATGCTTTCCTGCTGATGATATCAACCTTTTCTTTTGCCTGTTGTTTGTTGCGTTGTATGGATGTTTCTTGTTTTTCTGCATGACTGTGACTATTTGAGCAGCCACCGTGTCCCACCCTGTTGGACTCCATGGTGTTTTGCCTCAGTGTCTGTCTCTTGTGTCAGCTTTGCCTGTGCCACATCGTGGCCTGTTAAGCAAGATCCTACAAAGAAGCAGTCATTTAAAAGGAGCAGGTGCTTTACATCCAAAGCCCAGCACTCAAAGGAAATAGGAAGAAATTTTCTTTCTAGTTTTCTTTCCATTTGGCATTCTGCTTCCCTGGCTAAAAGAATCTCCTTCATCTGTGTTAGATGAAACATTGCATGATATTTACTCTTCATTAAATTATACTAGCATAGCTGATGTAAATCTTGTCAAGAAAAAAGAAAATGACAGCCCTTAGCACCATCATCGCTATTACAGTTGATTTTTGTGATTTCTATTACCTTATTTGTTAGAGTTCCAAATGATGAATAAGGAGTATTTTTTGCTTTACTCAGTGAAATTGCCTATCAAATGACAGCCTCAGTTCCTCCAAGCCACTGCTCCATGTTCCAAATCTGTTGCAATTAAAAAGAAAATTTTACCTCTCAGTATAATTAAATAGTTTAGCAGCAAGAATATTTTTTTGTTTCTTAAGTTTATTTATTCTTAAGCCAAATACAATCTGTTTAAAAGCTCACATACCAGTCATGAGATTCCAGCTGTAAAGCTGCTAAAGCATAATAAGAGCAAAACCACTCATGACTGGTGTAATTCAGTAATTGAAATATAGATTTTAAAAAGAAGAGTCCGGAAAATCCATCTCTGAGCAATATCCTTCTTCGGTCTGTTGCTCTGTTACTGGAGAGCATTTCTGTTCAAGGAAGCTCAGTTTCACTCTCTGAGTTACTGTTCACAAATTAACACAGTTTTTTGAACATCCTAAATGTATTTAAAAGGATGGAAACACTTGAAAAGACTCAGACTGACAGTAAAATATGGGTAGTTTTTCAGTGCTTTGACTGATAACCTTTGAGGTAGCATCTTTAAATTGTGAATGATAACACCTTTTTCATGCCATCAGGTCCTACCGAAGGTATTCTGGATGGAGACGGCTCAGTGTGATCACTGTGTCTCTCATTAAGAGACACTATTTTTTTGTGTCTGCAGCTTTATTTACAAGGGGTTATAATCCTTGAAGTTAGAGAGAAAGCAGACACGCAAGAAGAAGCCATTTTAAAGTGTTATCTTCCTTTTCAGTAGTGCCACCACTCACATCATGCACTGTACCTTTATTTCTGGTAGAGAATGTTATTAGAGTCACTATGAATTATGTGCAAAACTTCAAGGCTGAATTCTGCCCTTTGCATTCTCAGTTCAGAAAAAAAACCATGTGCAGGTTTACATGCAAAGGTAAAGCTGAAGTTATGTGCTATACTGAGAAGAGATTTTCTTTCCTGAAGTGTGGCCTGAATTTGAAACAGTAGATAATTTTAAAAGAGAGTCCTTTGGGAGTGACAAATCAGGAGAGGTACAAGTTTTGCCGTTTGACAAAATAAAGTACAGAGACCAAGACAGCATTTAATGTTGGGTACTTATGATGACAAGCAGTGCAAGTGTAATAAATATGGAAATGAAAGCTAAGTGTGTTAATAAACAGTGTATAGTGCCAAATATTGAAAATATAGTCCTTCTGGGTGAGGGCTTGTCTTTAAAACATTAAACTATATATTCTAAACAAAAACGCCTAACATGACTGACCTCTTGTTTAGCAAAAATGATAGCCAAAATAGTAAATAAGTGTTTGAAATATCCAAGGCTGACTGTGTTCTGACAAGTTACAGCCCAGAGTAGGTGAATAACTGAGCCTTGGTTTGATTATTTCTTCATGTTAGTTTAATCTAATTTTATTCAAATTTTAGAAGAAGAACAGGAAAGTCAAAAGATTATTTATTCTTGAACAAAACGTATATCTTTTGCCATTTTGTACTGATTAATGATGAATTGCAATCTTGTTTTCTTCTAATGATTTACTTTATATCTACTTTTTGAGTGATGGGAATATCTGGCATTCAGCGTAAGCTCTTTGTGATGTCTCATTTCCTCATTCATTATTGTCTGTAAATGGGCATGGTGCTTTAACCAGTGTTATCAGGTGAAGACAGTGCAGGAAGTGAGCAGCCACTCTCACCTGGTGAAAGGCTCCCTCCCATCAGACGTTCTAGTACAAGAGACAAAAACAGAAGAGGGGGAACATGTTTCCTACTGACAACAGGTGATTACACGTGTGCTACTGATGGAGGGATCAGGAAAGGTATGGACTTCTTTCATTAGATCATAAAGGTTACTCAGCAATGTGCTTGTGGAAAACAATCTTAGAGTAAATGATGTGCACAATGCTCTAAGAGGAAAGACTGTACTCACAATGTACCTTTTTTTCTTTACTTCTAGTCATTCTTTTCCTTTTAGAAACACTCATCCCCTTTAGTCTTCAAAAAATGTGCTTGATGTTGGACACTCATTTCACTTGTGTCTTCATTTGCCCGTAATCTCTAGTGGAAAAGCCTGCAATTCAGACCTTGCTCATTCAACCACTCATCACTCAATATAACTTGTCATTCTAAAAGACAAATTAATCATATTATAACTGTAGTCTGCTCTTTATAAAATTTACAGCTGAATAAACTTTTAAGGTTGACATGTCAGAAGTAAACAACATTTCTGAACACAAAAAAGCATATCCTGAGATGCTAGTTAGGTTTCTTTCAAACAAAATTTTGAGCTGATAATGCCAAAAACTATTTTTTCCCTTGGTAATACTAACCACTGATACTAAAATATTACTGTCTACCCCATCCATAATTCAGCTATGTAGTAAAACAGTGCTTAACCTTTCAAGGTGTTAAAAATGCCTTTCTAGTTATTTAGCCTCTTCAAATCTGATTACATCCTGCTCAGTAGGATGGGAGTGCCCAGGTGGAGTTTGCAAAACTGTTTTGTGCTTGTATCTCCGACGTGACTGATTATTTCTACCCCAGCAGGCCACATCTGGCTGTGGCTGCAAACCTAACATCAGGACAGAGCCCTAAGATCAGCATGCCAGTGGTAATCTTCCCATTTCCTTAGATAGGAACTGCTTTTGTTTCTTGGCAAATTATATTCCTCTGACCTTGGATCATTCAGACAGATTTTGCATTCCTGAGTGCTGAAGTGTAGTTGTTCACCTCAGAGTTCATCTGAAGTAGCCATGTGGCACTGGACAAACATTTTTGCCCGAGTTTTTTCTGGCTTTTTTTTTATTTTTCCCAAACTTGCTTGGTGTATAGCAAACATAGCTGTCCCAGCCAGCCATATATCTAAGGGAGTTCTCTTGGATTGTTCTGCCAATGCTCTTTTTGCCCTTCAGAGCATAAGCTCAATAGTTTAAACCTGTGAAGGCAGATATACAACCAGTTCCACGTGTATGGCATTTGCAGAGTATGACTCTATGCTCGGACATTTTATGTACTCCTGTATTTAATGTTTAGCTTAAATGAAAAATCATTGCAAGCATGTTTTTACACGAATTTACTACATTTTTCACTGAGCGTATATTTCACTGTCTTCTCAACAACTAGGATTATTTAAAATATCTCTAATGCTAAGAGTCTTTGAGGAGGTCAAGAATACCTGGATAAGGTAGAGTACCATGGCATCTTGCATGATCAGCTTTTTGACTTCACTCAGCAAGTTATGGTGGTAACCATGACTAGAGCAGATCAGAAATAATAAAAGAAGTTACCCATCAGCTACTAAAGACGTATTTATATAGCAGTAAAACCTATTTTGTCCTGGAACATTTTAATTTGTAAATCTAGATTTAAAATAAATTTTTTTTGGTAACTTTTTTAGATTTTGTAGTTTTTACTAGAAAAACTGGGGCTTGAGTTCAGAATGGGTAGTTTTTTGATGAGAAATATGCTCTTTGCCTGGCTCTGATGATAATCTCAATTGAGGCTGAAATGTTTTAGTCATTGGCTTTGGAGTGTATTTTATACAGAGTGGAGAAGCTAGCCCATAAGCAGAAAATATCTTCAAATAATATACAAATAGGTTTGAATGCTTGAATGTCATTCATACATCAAGTCTACTACTTTCACATTTTGTTTTTACCCTTTCCTTCTTTCCTTCTTTTGGTACATTCTTCTTGTTTGGTTGGTTCCTTGGTTGATTCTTGGTTGTTCAATTATAATTTATTGTGAGCTTTTTGCATCTCCATCTCCAAGATGATACTGATTCAGACCTGATCCATTAATATACCTGAAAAGAACTGATTTTGGATCAAGCATCTCTCACTATTCATCTTGTGTATCTCGTTTTCATTTTTTAGGAGTTTCTACTTTCTTTATAATCATTACCATCTTCCTCTCTCAGTTCTTTCCTTTTATCATTAGAAGAGTAGCAAGAAAATAATCTTAAAAACTACTTTCCTATTTTTATGCGGAAAAGCTACCTGATTATTTTGATTTTTTTAATAAGCTTTATGTTTACAGGGAGTTTAAATATATAAACTAGCATTGTGCTTCTCTTCGATTCCCTTTTCAAACAAAATTCTTTCTAGTCTGTTTAAATACTGATAAAAACTCAGAAACTGGAGGCTGTTTCAGAAATGTATCTGAATTCTGTGTAGTATCACAGTCTAGCCTGCCCTTGCCATCTGGAGGGAACATTGCACAATGTTTTAGTAGACATGAGGTTATGCATTTGCTTTAAGTATAGTTTCACAGTGTGCAGATTTCAGGGTAAGAAATATGTTAATTGTCGTAAGGGGAGAGCTTAAGATATGATTTTTCCTAAAGATGCCATTAACTGTCTGTTACCTAGAGACCTGGAATTTGAGCCAGTAACTGTTTCAATCAGAAAGAAAAAAAAATTGCTGACATTCCATGTGGTATTTAGCTTTACTGTCATTGGTACTGTCTGGGGAAAAAAGTCTCATTATTTCCCTATAAGCAATTTTGACCTGAATATTTTAACCTGGCAAATGCTTAAATGCATACTTGTCTTCAAGGAAATAAGTAGTACCACTGAAATCAGTGAGACTTCTCATGGTTGCACTGAAGCATGTACCCACGTACTTCAGGAGCAAGGTCCTGCCTGGCTCAACCTTTGTTGTATTTCCTTGCTGATATCTTCAGGCTGACGAGCAGACCTGTTTCCTAACAAAAGGGGTTATTCAGCAGTTGCTGAAAATACTTGAATATGAAGATAGTGATTCAGTGAAAGCAATGCTTTTTTTTTGGTTTACAGCATAGCCTCTACAAAGTGAAAACAATCCACACTAGCAAAAAGGAGGTAGCTAGAGCTCACAGTGTATGTGAACAGAAATATCTGCAAGTGCAATGTTCCCTTCAAATTGTGAAGCATTATGTGGTTGCCTCATTTAATGATTAATAATTTACTACTTGCTTATATGAATTAATACTGTTGTTTTTGTTCAAATCATCTGGAAAAGAAGCACAAATTCAATGTTTTAAGTTTGCCATTCAGGAGGCATTTACAAATACGTCAAGCTCTGCTGTCTTATTAGACTTCAAAATTAGAAGCAAAGCCTAAGAGTTAATATTTTTGAAGATAAAGCTTCTTATATTATCATTCAATCCTCTGCAGAACTGATTTACACATACTGTATAAAATTTATCTGGTTTCTGGTTTATTTATTTTAAAGAAAAAAATTGTACTATATTAGGAATTGAATGTAGCAGACATTATGTAATTTTGACAGTTCCTGCAGTCTGTCTTAATGGGTTTTTGATTATGCTTAGCCAGATAGCTCAGTCACCCTGGTGGGATCCCTTATCTTGCTCTCTGTGACACCCTGCTGAAGCCCACAGTGTGATACTAAGTGCAAGATGGGATGTGGAAGAGCAGGTCAGACCTCTTGTGTGGTGGTCTGTTTAATTTTTTTGGGTAAAAGTGGATGCATTAATTTGTAAATAATTTTATTTATTAGTATCCTTTGGTAGTAATGTGTCTCAGCACTGAGTTCTTTTGCAGGCAGATTCCCTCTGAGTCCCTGATAGCTCCTTGGATTACATTACATTGTACTGTTTGTCTTTGTCTATTTTTTGGCTGAATTCAACTGATGTCTGTGCATTTTCTCATACAAGGCTATGAAAAATCCCGAAGCCTAAACAACATAGCTGGCTTGACAGGCAATGCTCTGCGACTGTCTCCAGTAACATCACCCTACAGCTCACCTTGTCCTCTAAGGCGCTCTCGGTCTCCCATCCCTTCCATCTTGTAAACCAGATGGCGTCAATCGGCTACATAGCATTAAATCAAATACTGTTTACCACATCTTGGAAATAAGTGTAGCATTAAGCATAGGCTCCAGAAATATGGTCTAAATCCTGCATGATACAACTGTCAGTAGTAAGAAAAGCCACTTGGGTACCTGAAGATTTTTGTCTTGGCTTTTAAAGATTACTTCAGGTAGCATTTCTCCTTTTATCTACTATATTGTCCTACTTTCCTGTGGCAATAAAAGGACAGTTAGTGGATGCTGTTGTCCATATATTCAATAAATAAGCATATTTTCAGGGAGATTTACTTAAAATAATGTGCTTCCAAGTAATTATCAGTCACTCCATTGAACCTCCATTTCTTGTGACTCTAATCCATTCTGAAGATGTCTGCTCTGAAGGGTCTGCTCATTTGCATGGACCATCCTGTCTCCATCACCTGACAAGCAGTGTTGCGGATCGTGGAGACCACAGAGGGCTCTGAATGTGTGTTCTCACATTGTTACCATCCTGCTGAAATGAAAGCACTGATAAACTGGTCTGCATGTGGGATTGTTTTTCTGTGTTTAACCTTTTCTTTTATTTTTTAACTATCTACTTGTTTATAAACGACTTTATTTTGTGATTAACTTATTTCGGTACTGGATTGCTGTATCAGAGTTCTGAATGTCTCCGGTTGTTTGCACACAGATAACTGCAAAGAGGTTGTCATTACTGGTTACACGCAAGCAGAAGCCAGATCTCTTTCTTAATGGCTTGGGGAAGGCACAAAACATGCAAGAAAGGTAAACGCCATCCAGACTTGCAATTTTAAGCTAGCAAGTGCTGCTTGGTACTGTAGTATTTTCTCTACTCCAGGGTTCTTCAACATTTTCAGAAGCTGAGTACCAAGTAAAATTGAAACAATTACTGGGGGCTTTTTTTTACCATTGTAAGAGGGTAGTAGTTCTCAAGTCGGGTTTTTGACCAGCATTATACCTCTGGCTAGTGGGCTTCAAGAATTTCTTCAGTCAATGTTTTTTGAGGTGCTTTGTCCTATGTGTTGTTTGTCTGTCTGTTTTGCAACCTGTCTCCTTGTATTCTCCATCTGTCTCCATAAAGCACAGAGATTCTGTTAAAATGCCCCCCTCTTTTAAGATGAACTAAGAACACTTTTTTCTCCTTTTCTCTTTTTTTCATATGCACTATACATCCATGTGTAGATAGAAATATACATATTTTTCAAGTGCAGTTAGTATCATCTAGACTAACTCGTGTGCACTCCTAAGGTTTTTTGAGCGGCTTTTCAGCACTGACCGGTTGCCTATTGCATCAATCTTCCTCCCAGCAACCAGCATTCATTACAATTTTGAAACTGTATCTCCTCTAGTGGCTTTTTCATTCAATACTAACCTCTGTTTATGCAACAGGACAAATGCAATGGCAAATTTGAGGTTCTGGGCTGGTGAGGAAAAATTACCCTTAAACTGTAGAGTTTTAGAAGGCCATAATGACTGAAATCTTCTTAAGTGATCCTTGAAATTGTTGAATAATACCTGACTGTCATGTTTTACTTTTTTGTTAGGAAAAGAAATTAAATTTATTGTTGACCATGTAACATGTTCTTCTGTATATAGCCAAGCCCAATAGCATGACCTGCATGTCAGAATTCCTGTACAATAATGTAGTTATCAAAGTATACATTTCTGATATTTAGAGATGTACATTGATTTACTTTTGGTAAAAATATTGTCAATAGAGAGATAATTGCAAACAGCTTTTAGCAAATGAATTAATATAATATCTGGTGCTGCTGTTATATTAACTACAGTGTTGTACAGAATTTATCATGGATTTTTGACTGCTGAAAAAGGGACAATGGAATTTAGCCATACCAAGGACTGTACTGGAAAGAGACTGCTGCTGCTGAATGGGCCCTGATAAACGACTCACACCTTGAGGAGGTCACTGAGACTTTGCGTGCGAAGCAGAGCTTGTTAAAGAAGATGAAAGACCGCTCGTAATTACTGCTGCCAGAGGAAGGGGTGACTAGTCACTGTTGATGAGTCAGTGTAAATAAAACATGTGTGCATGGAAAATCAGTTTTTATCTATATCAAGGAAAGCTGAATTCATGTCATCATTGCTAAGGTTCCATGCAAAGACCCCCACCCCTGTGTTTATTATTCCTGGTTCCTGCAGTAAGCTGTGCTGTGGATCATACAAAAACACACGCTTAATAATGATAGTGATGTAAACTACATCTGTCTTGACTTCTGTCATACTAATGGCATATATTGCAAAAGTCACAAATTTGAACAGAATAGGTTTGCATAAGTCCTTGCTTTCTCAGTTTGCCATGACCTAAATTGTTATGAATTGTAGTGTACATGCCAAGTCCTAAGTTTACTTTTCACTTTGATAACAAAAATGTGACTGCAGACAAACATCACTGACTTTGTTCACAGCACACAGTCTTCTTTCATTGTTACCTCAAACTATAAGTATTATCAGAAATAAAATTCTGGCAGCAAGAATATTTTGTGGTTTTCTTTTTAATTCAAAGTGTTGCAAACCCGACATCAATAAGTATAAAAATTGTATTAAAATTATATTCTACAAATGTATATTTTGCATAAAATATATATATTCTTTGATAAGTTATTTTCTGTGATTTTTGTGGCAAATGGATCTAGTCTATTCTATGTTTATGAGACATTGTAGTGCTACGATGTGGTAATTATGTTCTCTCCATCCTATTCAGTGGGAAATTCTCCAGAATCTGTTTTGTCACCCTGGTGTCCCAATTGTAGGGACCTGTCCCAGTTGTGAAACTCTGTATTGTGGAACTTCTGTGAACATGTCAAGGTGCATGCACAATCCTGGTGGAAACCAGTGGAAATGTAATACCTGAATTGGAGAATAAAAGGCAAAAGACCTGGGGAGGAACTTGGAACATATCTTCTGAACTGGCTCATGAGCTTTCTTTAGCTGTATCGGTCCCCTACCTGGTAGTGGCCATCCCAGTTCTCCATCCAGCCTCCTGGAATGCCTGAGGAGCTGATTCAAATGCTAGCATAAGGCGGCTTCTGCAACAATTGAAAATTTATCAGGTTGTTAATGACCCTGTGCCTCATGTGAAAGTTTCTGTCAGGCTGGGTATTTTAAGTCTTGATGGGAGTTTTGTTGCATCCTGGTGTGAAGTCAAACCTAAAAAAAGGAGGTGATAAATGGTTGCTTAAAGCTTCTAATATACTGTATTTGTGGCAACCAGAAATCCCCAAATACACAAGCAGATTGTCTGAGAGCAGCGAGGTAGCTAGTACAGTTCTACAAATGATCTTAGAGGCTGTAACACAGTATTTTGGCATATGTGCTGTAATGTAAGAGAAGTTCCAGAAAACAGGATCAGAGAACAGGTGTTCAATTTTAGAAAATGTGCTATGATATGTCAGGAAAGCTCACTGTGCTGTTTGCCCATGAATTGAGAGTTGCCTGTGCTGTGATTGTGAGCAGTATCCAAGGGAAGAAGAGGTGTAGTGGTCAGACAGCACAAGGCTCACAGCCAGCCCCAGTCACCCAGGGTGATGTCTGCCCCAAGACCTAGAGAGAGGTGTCTGGTTTCCCTCAGGGCTACACAGGGACAGGGATGATCCCCACGTGGGATGCAGACAATGGAGTGCATTTTGTTGGTCAAGACTGTAGAAAACACTGATGGCCACATGGTGTCTGACATCTTCTACTGTCTGGATGGTAAGGAGCCTGGATGGATCTCCACCAACACTGGACTTTGAGTCCACAATATCCTGGAATCAGTATTATTTTTCTGCTAGAGAACCAAGCCCATGTTTAAATGCTTTCTTTTAAAACACACCTGGAGGACAAGCTGATGGTGAGTCTGGTAACTGTTCATGTGTTTTGAAACTACAACCCAACTCTGACTATTCTAAGAGGAAAAAGGTGCCTTCACCACCAGCCCCCTCCTGTTCCTCACCTGTGTCTGGGCACAGGAAGGGGTGAAAGGGCATTTTTATGAGAGGTGGGACACCAAGGTTTAACTTTCTCAGGCTGAGGATGTCTTTGAACCTAAACCTCACTCTTCAGGGTACTGCAGTGTCTCAGATACAATGTTAAGAGTGGGCTGCACATTCTCATTCACTTCTGGTTTTGGCCATCTTTTAAAGGAAAGCAGATGAATGATGAGAAGCAAAATTGCACCAGGAGAGTTTTGGTGCTAGCAGGAAGATTCTGTGTCGGTATTCTGGGGACCAAATACCCACCAAAGGGTGCTTGTGGCCATCTCTAGGCTTGACTTAGGAGTCTGAAAACTTACTCAATCCTTGTTTAAGTATTACTTAAGGGTTAGAAGTCAAAACTAGAAAACAGCTGTGAATTTACAAGCAATGCATCTGCTAAAACAATTTAGGAGAAGCTGTTACTCATTTGCCTTTTAAAATTGTGAAGTCAAGATATCAAAAATGAGCATCCTTTTGAAAGATGAGCTAGTACAACAGCAGGATTTGTGCAGAGATCAAAAGCTGTGATATATTTTCTAGATGAGCAGATTATGGGATGTTTGGACTTTGAAGGCAGTTATCGTTCAGCACTCAAAAAATGTTCCAGCAAATTTTGAGACATTGCATTATGAGTTTTTATAGGTGTATACTGCAAACTGGTGCCAGAATTGCTAAGAAGCACGCAGCTAATAATAATGAATATAATCCTGTATAATAAGGGGGTTTTCTTATGTGTGAAAAAATTGATATTCATGAAAGTTCTCTTACAAAAGGTCTGGATTGAATTAAAGCTTCTAAAAGAGAGGGAAATTTAAGGAATCTCTTCAGATGGGTAACTGAAAACTACAGAGAAGAGGGATCATTTTAATGTGAGTAAACTTGCCAGCATAGTTATGTGAAATATGAATTTTAAAAGCCTTGAATGAATGAACTATATGAAAGAGAGCATTTTATAATCTAAAAAACCCATGCAGAAGTCAGATAAAGGAAATTGGAATGGAAAACTGCTATTAGAAAAAGAAAATTAATTTATTAATATGCTGTATTACAAGCAATGGCTTGAACAATTCCATAATAGAGCCTTAGAATACTGAGTGAGAAGAAATTACAGAAAAGCCGAAAGGTTTCTACCAGGTCAAATTTATCAGAATTATTAAAATTTTTATAATACATTATCTTTCTCTTGGAAATAAACTTTATTTATTTAATTTCCCAAGAGAAAATTTATTTTAACAGTGGTGGGGTTTAAAAGCCAAGAGTTGGCTTGAGGGCAAATACTGAGCTGTTAGTGCTGGGTGTTGGGTACCTAGCTGGTGTGCCATTACAAACATTTCTCTCCTACTTCAGTGAATATCCCTGGGACATGTTGGAATTGCAGAGGTGCCTGATTTCTAGCCCCAGAGACAGGGATCTTTTGCATGCTGTCCCCATGGGAAGGCCGGGATGCTCTCCAGCCAGGCTCCTGGCTCTGCACCACAGCCTGCAGAAGCATCCCAAGTTTGGTCTAGGTGCAGCTTCTCATTGCCTTCTGGCAAAATAGGCACCATTCCCTCACCCTCTGCAACCTCCTCCCCAAAACCCAACCTTCTGTCACTTGCATTTTTTTTATTACCAGCATGTTGATGAACAGCTGACAGATTTCAGATTCATGCTTTCACAGCTTCACATTCGCAGATGGCAATATTCTAGCATATTTTTGAAAAATGAAGTTGGAGGTGGACACTTTTTGAAAATTTGGCACAAAAATGTTATGCATTTCATTTAACATCTCCTGTATTATTTGCAGGTGGAAGACTGGAGATCAGTTTAAACCCAGGGCACAACTAGACTATTCTGAAACTTTTAGGATGTGTTCCTTTTATGTTCTGCATCTGGTTAGAGCATTGCTACATTTTCCTATCACATGAAGCTCTCAGTTTTCTCCCCAAATGGGATTTTGAGATAGGATACCAGAGCAAATCAGAGAATACTATTTTAAATTGTAATTGGAACTGGCTTCCCAGGGAAGGGGTGGGATCACCACCATCCCTGGAGGTATTTAAAAGATGTAGATGTAGATGTGGCACTGGTGGATATGGTGAGCAAGGCAGTGCTGGGTTAGCAGTTGGACTCAATGATCTTAGATGTCTTTTTCAAATGTAGTAATTCAGATTCTTATAGGATTGTAAATGTGAATTGTACTATGCAGAAAGAGATAGTCCCTGTGAAATACTGAAGCTGTAAAAGATGACTGTAGCTTAACAACTCTTTGTTTTAGAGAATGGTATGGGCACCTTTTTAAAACATGAAAAGCAGAAAATTCTGTGTTGGCCTCCTCAGAGCAGTATTAGACTTGCATAAGACTATGAAATACTAAAGAGGAAAGTGGAAGTTATTCTCCTTGACCTTAAGACTGCTTATTTGCAAAAGTAGCAAGATCAGACTTCTTGAAGAAGCCTGGCATTTTTAGAGAAACAATGCAAAACTCCATCAATCTGAAGAATACTAAACTGTAGCCACATTATCCTATTAAGCTGATGCTAAATATAGAAAGGATTTGCAGTTTCTTACAGGGATTTCCTTGCTTGTGACTAAATGCAGCACCATGGTTTTATGAAAATCTTATTTTCTTCATGCCTTTGAATGTTTTTGGTGCAATGAAGTTTGGCAGTCTGATTGTCTTCAGACGATGCCATTGTTTAGATGCAATTTTTACATTTTTCTAGCATAAAAAATAAGGTTTTTTTATGAACTGGACCACTGGAAAGGGGGGTAGAGGGAGCACTGAACAACATGGTTTTCTTAAATTCTTATGAAATCTTCCACGTGAAGCTGTGACCACATAGAAATAAAAATACACAGCTTTCCCTATTATGTCAGTGTCATAACATTGACTGTAACTCTTACATTTCTGAAACTCCTCTT